GGTTTTAAGTGTATCAGTTGTTTACCCTTGTGAATGTGGCTAAGCGGGAGCTGAGGCTCACCCTGGCTACCCAGCATCACAAGAGAGCTTCCTACAATATTACTAGCCTGAGAAAAGATCAAAATTCAGTATTCAAAGTGTAGTTTCAACTGAATGCATATCGCTTTCACAACATCATAAAGTCAAAACTAAGTCAAATCATCCTAAGTCAAGGACTATCTGTACAACTTTGTATCTGGGAAGACCAGTCTCCTCCACCTTACTGTGGACATTCTTAACCTCTCAAACTTTTATCTAAGTTCCTCAAAAACCATATGGGAACTTTGATTGGTATTGCATGAAAATCTATGGACCAAATTGAGAAGACTGACATATTCACGATACTGAACATACCTGTGCATGTAGATGTTACCGTTCCCATTTATTTTAGGCCTTCTCTAATGTTTTTAAAAATGTGATCAATAAATAAATTCTCTTCATAAAGACTTTGTACATCTTTGGACTTAACGATACTTTAAACTTTTATCACTATTGTGACATCTTTTAAAAATGTATATATCTTCTATTACTTAGCCACACTTGTCTGTTTTCTTGTTTTGCAGTTCCAGCTAGGACCTCCCAAAGTATTTAGTAGACAGTCCTGTCTTGATTCTAACATTTCACCATTAAGACTAACATTTGCTGGAGCACCTGGGTCACTTAGTCAGTTAAGCATCCAACTCTTGATTTCAACTCAGGTCATGATCTCATGGTTTGTGGGTTCCATCCCCACATTGGGTTTTGTGCTGACAGTGTAGAGCCTGCTTAGGATTCTCTCTCTCTCTCTCTCTCTCTCTCTCTCTCTCTCTCTCTGCCCTTACCACAACTGTCTCACTCTCCCTCAAAATAAATAAATAAACTTAAAACATAATTATATCTGCTATAGATTTTTGGTAGATGCTTATCAGAATAAGGAATTTCTCTATTCCTAGTTTTATAAGAGTATTACAAATGAGTATCAGTTTTATCAAGTTTGTTCTGGTGTCTATTGGGAAAATTATGTAATTTTTCTTTCAACTTGTTAATTGACAAGCTTTTACATTTATTGTGCCTTTGAGCTTTCTAGTCTTTTTTTCTTTTCTAAGCTTCCTGACTTTTAAATTTATACTCTCCATCCAGGTCATTTCCATCCTGAGAGGGGTGTTGGGAAGGCCAGAGTTCTCAGAGTCATTCATATATATTTGAAAGATTGAAAAATGAAGTACATAGTAAATACCAGGTATTTGAGGTGATTACCCAAAACTAACCTTCAAATGTAACACATTACATTGATATAAGGTTGCTCTTTTTTGGAGCTAAATATAAAAGGTTACTTGAGATGCAGTCTCTTAGAGGCAGAAGTAATTATCATAGAAAGTTTTCCAAGTGAAAGAGTATTTCACTCCTTAGAGAAATATCAGAAAGTCATTAGTTATCTTTTGAATTTTCTTTTCAGAACTATTATTGACTTTAGGGGCGCCTGGGTGGCTTAGTCGGTTAAGCGTCTGACTTTCACTTAGGTCATGATCTCGTGGTTTGTGGGTTCGAGACCCGCGTCGGGCTCTGTGCTGACTGCCAGCTCAGAGCCTGGAGCCTGTTTCGGTCTGTGACTCCCTCTCTCTCTGACCCTCCCCTGCTCTCTCTCTCTCCTAGAAATAAATAAAACATTTTAAAAAAATGATTTAAGAACTATTATTGACTTTAAGAACTAGAGCTCAAGCTCCCCCATTATAACACCTACCAATTGGAGGTAACATTTCAAAAACAGGCATGTTAGAGAGATACAAAGTTCTACTTATACACATTCTGTAATTCAATATTATCAGTCAGAGTGGACGGGCATGCCTCAAAACTTTTGTTCAGAATCTAAATAAGACCAGCCACAATGATGATCTAATTTGTACAAACAATGTGGAGACAGAGGGGGAAATATAGGCAATTTCCTCTTGTTTAAAGCAAAGTGAGGATGCTGGGGTGGCCCAGTTGGATGAGTGTTTGACTCTTAATTCTGGCTCAGGTCATGATCCCAGGATTGTGGGATCAAGCCCCGCATCGGGCTGAGTATGGAGCCTGCTTGAGATTCTCTCTCTCTCTCTCTCTCTCTCTCTCTCTCTCTCTCTCCCTCTGACCATTTCCCCCATTTGCATTATCTTGCTCACTCTCAAATTACCAAAAAAAAAAAAAAAAAATTTAAGTAGGGTGAACAAATCTGATTTTTTTGCCATGCTGCATCAAGGCGGTTTATACTACTAGAAAACTCTGAGCAGGTTCTGTCTTAATAAATGAATACAGAATCCAATAATCCCTTAATAGGTGAGTATCCACTGCATGCTGTGCAAGGGGACAGAAATGCAAATAGGACAGATATAGCACCTGCCCTCACAGAGTTTACTAACAGAAGAGATGCACCACTGAAACAAGATGCCAAGTATGCTTAGTATCTATATTAGGCATAATGGAAGGATCCCAGGAGATTAACACTTAAGCTAGATATAGGTCAGGGGGTTAGGGAAGGTTTCTCAGAAGTAGAGGAGGCATTTGGGGATTTGGGATGCAGAAGTTCTGGAAGTACTTTGCAGTCCTAAACAGTACATGTAAGGCTAGCATTCTCTAGGAGAAAGCACTCTATAGTCTAATGGTGTAGAACAGGAGAGAGAGAAAAAAAGCTGAAAGATCCATGAACGCCCATCCACACACTGCCCCCATCCCACCCCACTAGAAGAGCAGCAGTCTAATAGAAGCATTCTGTGGAAATGAACAGTGAAACATTCAGTGAACAAGATTCAATGTTTCAGTGAAATGAGAATTGTAACAGAAATATGCACAGGATGCTGGGCAGGTGGGAGGGCTGGGGAAGAGAGCCTCAAAGAAGAGTCCAGTATGCCTTGTGGAGCAATCAGGAAAACTTCACAGAGTAGCATCCGAGCCAAGGACTAAAATTGGCACACAAAGGTACTAGTGACACATGTGAAGGGACAAAAATCACAGTTCACACAAAAGGATGTGGTAAAGGACTTGACATATCAAATAAGCATCACTCTTTAAAGATAACAAACTATCAACAAAATGATCATAGATGCCAATCTGAAAGGTAAAAATCACTGTTGATGGAATTAGGTAAGGGCTGTCTGGCATTCAACATACAAAACCCAGACAAGGTCTATGGCCATGAGAATGGAGCAAGTGCTGGGTAACAGCTTGAGAGGGTGAGAGTGGAATGTAGGCATTTGCACTTGCAGACACATAAGGAGAGGGTATGGTGCACTTAGGGGTACCTAAGCAAATGGAGGGCTAGAGCAGTGCATGGAGGTTGGAGGAGGTGTCCAGACAGAGGCTATAAAGGTGGGAGAGACTTTGCAGTCCCCTAGGACTGAAAGGACTCTTCTATAACATAAAGGGTCTGTGTTATCCTCTGGGCAATGCAAAGCCACTGCAGACTTTTGTGAAGAACAACATGAAGTGTGTGCCTTAGAGAGATCTTTCCGACAGCCACACCGAGACTGAGACTATACAACAGAGGGTCAGGAAGGGATGGGAGACGTAGGGATTTGACTTCTGTCAGTGAAAGTGGGAATGAAGAGGCAAGGATTAATTCAAGATATATTCAGGCAGTAGAAAAATCAGTGTAACTTCTCAATTGACCGGTGTAGAAGTTAAAGAAACCAAACTTTTCGCTTGGTAACAGAATGAATACCACAATCAATGAAAACAGGCAAAAACAATTTGAGATGATTATTTTAACTAACACTGAGCACTTCTCTAAGGCTTTTAAAATCCCAACTCATTGGGGCACCTGGGTGGCTTAGTCGGTTAAGCGTCCGACTTTCGCTTGGGTCATGATCTCACGGTTTGTGGGTTCGAGCCCCGCATCGGGCTCTGTGCTGACTGCCAGTTCAGAGCCTGGAGCCTGTTTCAGTCTGTGACTCCCTCTCTCTCTGACCCTCCCCTGCTCACGCTGTCTCTCTCTCTCTCTCTCTCCTAAAAATAAATAAAACATTTAAAAAAAATAAAATAAAATCCCAACTCATTTAATCTTCACAACAACCATATGAGGGCTCTAATTTTCAGATAAGACTAATAGACAGAAAGGTTAAATAACTTCTCCAAAGTCACTCAACCTGTAAGCAGTGGAGCCAAGATTTGAACTGAGACACATTCTACTACAATGCAGAGGACCAATTACATGTCCCTTAGACAGGCTGGACTTCCAGAATTGTGTTTAATTGGCATGTGGAAAACAGAGTAAGGTTCAGAAGAAAAATCAGTGTTAATATAGATTTTATTTTATTTTTTAAATTTTTTTTATTTACTTCTGAGAGAGAGAGAGGCAGCATGAGCAGGGGAGGGTCAGAGAGAGAGGGAGACACAGAATCTGAAACAGACTCCAGGCTCTGAGCTAGCTGTCAACACAGAGCCCGACGCAGGGCTTGAACCTACGAACCGTGAGATCATGACCTGAGCCAAAGTCAGACACTTAACCGACTGAGCCACCCAGGTGCCCCTACAATAGAGATTTTAGAGTGATCAACATAATTGATTTCCTGAGGCCGTAAGAGAGAGAAGATGATCCTTGAGACTGAAGAGAAACAAGAAGATCCCTAGGAAAGAGATTTTTTTTAAACAATAGTCCAGTCACCAAAGCACAGAGGTGCCAGCTTCTAAAAATCTGGACTTACTTCTTCTTGTCAAAGCAAGGATCCATTCAGTATTTGCTGAGTGATGAATCTAGCATTCATAGCTAAATGTTCCCTGCTCAGATTACATCAGGGAGAAGAGAAGCCTAACAGAGTATGAAATGAGGAAAACAAACAAAGAAACAAACAAACATCGATGCACTCAGTTCTTGGAATGATGAGCTGTATCTGTATTTCAGCAAACTGTCTCCTGCCTCCAGAAAATCAGAAATGATGCATACTCATCTCATGAGCAGCACCCTGATCTCACTCATCTCCTCCCAACCCTCCAACCCCCACGGAACTCACCACTGCTGAGAGGGCAGGGCCCCAGCCATACCGCAGCAACACCAGGAGCACAGAAGCAAGCAGGAAGACGTCGTCTTGCAAAGACAGAACAAATGAATTATGGCTTCTGCGAAAAATCAGCTTTTGTTTTTAATGGGCTGTATGTGACTCATCAGCTATCAGGTATGCTATGCCAGGAGCTCTAGCTAAATCAACCCAGTTCAGAGGGCAGAGGAAAGGAATGAAAGCAAAAGATGAACATCCATCTCAGGAAGCTCTAATCCTAAACAAAGAAAACAGAAACAGAGGGAAGTGGCAAGCATCTCCTCTTTGAGGGTCTGGAAAGGGCGGAAGCTGCAACAGCCGTGGAGGCAGCCCTGGGTCCTGGGACCCGCTAACAAGTGAAGATCTTGGTTGCCATGGTGCCATCCTGCCGGCCTCAAGGTTTCATCAGCATTTTCTGCCACAGTTCCTGTCTTGTGGGCAGCAGCAAGTGAAAAGAAAAAAAAAAAACCTGTTGTTTATTTGCATTCTAATGGCTTCTGGGTCACTGAACAGTGTCTGGAAAGGACAAGAAGAAAGCGGTAAGAGACAGAAAGCAACCAAGATGGGGATAAACTCCTCTGGAATGTCTTAAATTAGACCTGGATGTTCTATGGATAAGACGTCTCATGAATCAACTCTCCTCCCCAAAACAGTTTTTCCCTTTTTTTTTTTTTCTGGTATTTATAATCCAAGAATCTACACACAGAAAGTCAACTTTTCATCAAGGGTCTTTCCCACAGTGATGTGTGATCATAGGAACTCTGGATTTCACTGCTAGGAGAAAAGCTTGAACTTGCGGCAGAGAAAACAAAAGGAAGTATTGGTCACCACCCTGGAGTGGAGGTGAGGGGACTGCCTTGATACTAATCAGCTGGATGACCTGTGTGTCTGCATCCAGATTCCTTCTTCATAGAAGGACACACACAGGAGGAAGCCTACAAGAGACACAGGGAGACTCGGCCATCTAGAAGCCAAGGAGGGGGATGGAACAGACTCTTCCTCACAGCCCTCAGAAGGAACCAACCCCTGCCAACATCTGGATCTGATACAATAAAGGTTTGCTGTTGGAGCCACCCAGTTTGTACTGCTTTGTGACAGCAGTCCTTGCAAACTAGTACACATCCAGAAGTAGAGAAAATTGTATAAGGAACTTCCCTGCAGACCATCCCCAGATCTTTCACTCCTGTATACTATCACTAAGCATCTCTAAAATACATGGACCTGTCCTTATATAACCACAATGCCGCTGCCAAACCAAACAAAATTAACATTTTGGGCAAATTTATTTTACAGAAGAAATATACCTTATACTAAAACATCCTTATGTAAAGCTTTCCTCCATTAAAGCTGTTTACAATATTAAAAACAAAATCCCAATAAGCATGAATTTTTGTGAATAAAATCCTGAGAGGATGAGCAAGACTCTTGGAGCAAATTCAAGTCCTTAATCAGCTCCCTTATTCAACATATTATCTGAGGGGAAAAAAAACCCTTGTTACTTTATTAAAGCACAGAAAAGAAAGGAAAAATGTAGTCAGTATTCATACCCATTCTCTGGTAATTGAAAATGCAACTTTCAAACCACACCCCAGAAATTTAGCAGGTGTCTAGAAGTCTTTGGTTTAAAAAGAAGTTAGTATACGCAATGGTATTCTATGTCAAATTGCACGTATTCTAAGTACACAAAAATTGGCCCGGCAGAATTTGAAATCTCTACCAAAAAAAAAAAAAAAAAAAAGATAAACACACAAAACCATACCTTGATGGAGTATAAATCGTTGGGTGTTTTTCTAAACACCTAAAACTTTAGAAGTGCTGTTCCCAAACTTCAACAATTAGACAACTTCCAATCACATGTCCTCTTCAAAAAGGTTACTTTTTATCTATGTGATGCAAAGAGAAATGTTAAAGTCAGAATTATCTACTTATAAAAGTTTTTAAAAGACTCTTTTGAAAAGCAGTCTACTCCATCAACTTTCAAAATCAGGCATCTCTGTAAAAACCCACAATCCAGCTAATTAGTCTCAGCTGTTCGTCATATGGCCTGCAGACCAGTCAAGTGATTTTGCCCCTTTCAAGCTTGCTAAAACCCAATTCCACTGGCCTCTCAGCAGAAGGCAGCTGTATTAACCTCTTCTAGTGTTAGAAGACTAGTACTCCAACTCTCTGTTTTCTTCCAGTCAAATGACTAGAATGTTTGTTTTCTTGAGAAAGATTCTTTCAAAGTATTGCATTCTCTGGGCCCTTAAATATTATACTAAAATTGTTTCTTCACAAATGCAATGCCTGATCCAAACAAACAACATAGGAGATCAAATCAAAGTGGCAGAAAGGATGGGGCTGGATGACTTACCAGACTTCCCACTCCTGGCCTCCAGACCCATAAATAAAACTGTCTACTAAAGGATCCACCCAGATTTCTTCTGGCATTTCAAATTCAGCATGTCCTGCCCTCAACTTACCTCCTTTGCTCTTCTTTCACAGACTCTGCTTCAGGCCCCCTTCTCCTCCTGTGTCTTGAGGAACACAATCCCAACACCAGCCCAGCCAGAAATCTGATGGTCTGCATTGACTCCTCCCCTCCTTTTCCCTCCCACTTCCATCTGGCCACCAAGTTCTAGGGATCTTTCTTCCTCCCACCTTTATTCCAAGTTTTTATTATTTCTCATCTGGATGGCTATGATCAACCACTTACTTGGTTTTCTGGCTGCAGTGATCCATCCTCCACACCACACCCAAAATGATCTTTCCAAATTGCAAATGGGTGTCCACCACTCTCCTCTGTAAAACCTGTCACTGACTTCTCACAACCTCCACAATGAAATCCCTACTCCTTAGACTTCTGCCTTCAGCATCACCTACCATTCCCAGCCTCCTGTCTCCAGCCACAAGAACTATTTATAATTCTCTAAAACCTGTGGTTTTCAAAATGTGAAATCAGTATCATCAGAATCACCTGGGACACGGTTAGAAATGTACATCCTTGGGCCCACCCCAGGCCTTCGGAATCAGAAATTGTCAAGATGGCCACAGGGTCTATGTTTCAACACGCCTGCCAAGTAGTTCTAATACACATTAAACTGAGAGCCACAGCTCTAAACCCTCCAAGCTTGGTTCATCAAGACATGGAGCTCTTTGGCTCCTTCTGTCAATCCTGCCAAGTTGGATGCCCCTGCTCTGTGCTTATGCTTTCCTAGAGCCGGTCAACCCTGTATCGTGATATCCAATTTATTTCATTTTGGTTGGTGAATATCTTGAAGACAAGAACTGTATCTTCTTTAGTTCACTCATCCCACAATCACTTGCTGAGCATACACTTTCACTGGGAAAGATGCTGGGCATAAACTAATTAATCTATCCTTTGCCTCTAGGGTAAGCCACCTTCTAACTTTGGCAGCTTGACATGTGACTGAAAACTCAACCTAGCCAATCTATAAAATCTTATCACCACCTCAAGAACTGTGGGCAACTAAAAAAGCATGAACATACCAGTCTGACATCTCTCATGGCAAATGACATGGAATTTTTGGTTCACATCTGATGTTGACTCAGATTTACAGACATGGTTTATAAAGGGAGAAAGGGTACATTTTCATGAAAACTTACAAGCTCCTCTATATTATCTTATAGCAACCTCTAGAAATCGGAGAATAATTTATTAAGGTAATGTACCAAGACTTTTAAATCCCAGATTAAAGTTCATTACAATTAGTTTATTCTAATTATAGTAGGAGTTGAGTAAAGTTTCATATTAGTACTTCTCAACCTTCAGGATGCATAGGACTCTCCTAGAGATTTTGTGAAAATGCTAATTCTGATTCAATAATTTTGAGTAGGGTCCAAAATTCTCTATTTCTAACAAGCACCCAGGTGATGCCCAGGTAATACTGATGGTTCTAGTCCCAGAACTGCACTTTGAGAATCAAGTAATGATTCCATTTTTTACAGAACTATTGGTCTTCCCATTCGGGTAACACAAACTTTTTTTGACCTCCTCTACAATGAAAGCTTCTTGAAATGAATTTTCTAAAAAATTTTTTGATGTTTTATTTATTTCCGAGAGAGACAGCATGAGCAGGGGAGGGTGAGAGAGAGAGGGAGATACAGAATCTGAACCAGGCTCCAGGCTCTGAGCTGTCAGCACGGAGCATGACGCGGGGCACGACCCATGAACTGTGAGATCATGACCTGAGCTGAAGTCGGACGCTAACGAACTGAACCAACCAGGCGCCCCTGAAATGACTTTTCGACTTCAGGATAAAGATGACATACTAAACACACACCTTAGTTCTGCTACCTCCCCAAATCTCACTAACGTAACATTAAAAAGCTGGGTTTTATTCTTTTACACACAAACTCAAAAAGACAAAAAGAAAGTGAGTGGAAAGAACAGTAATGGAATGTGGAAGCTAGAAAGTAAATGGCTAAGAGGTAAGTGATTAGCAGACCTGGGAAAGGTGACTCCTTATCTGCCACTAGGGAAAGCCTAAAAGCAACTCATCACAGAATATGCAGAAACACTTAGGGGGTTAAGGGGAGGGTAACGTTAAAGCTAAAAATAGTGGAAGTCTACCTAGATCTCTAAATACTGAGATACCTCCACCCCCATCTACATGCTGGAACTTCTAGAATGCAGGCATTCTCTACAGGCAGGTGGTTCAAATGTTCTTCTCTGGACAATCTGCTCAGCCCCGGAGGGAAGCCCTAAAGATAAAGATAACAAGCCCAGGACATACTGATCTGACTAAAACTATTTCATAACTGTTGAGAGGAGGAACGGATATGGCGTACACGTGTGGTAGATGTATGCGTGTGTGGTAAAGGTGGAGAAATGAGTTAACATTCTCTTCCTCCATGGTAAAGTGTCTAGGCATAGGCATTTAAGTAGTGCCTAAAACTGAAAATTGACCACAGAAATATCAGTATGTCATTTAGAAACAAGGGATTTGACTACCAGCAAGAGTCACTTAACTATTAGAATTGAAAGCAGTTGTCTCTGAGGAGCAGGAAATGGGCTGGGGGAGGGGGACTGAATTTTTTTTTTTGGTAACAGGCCCCTAGTACTATGTCCATGTATAACCTTGATAAAATTTTAAAAGTTAATTAATAAAAAACTACAGTAGTATACCGACCCCATCTGTGGTTTTGTTTTCCGGGGCTTCGGGAACCTGGGGTCCATAACAGTCCAGAAGCAGATAATGCCTATTGATTAATTAGTAGGCCAATAGTTGCCAAAAGCTACATCACAAAGGCTACGTCTTAGCTCACTGAATCTCATTGCATAGGCATTTAATAATCTCAAATAATCACAAGAAGGATGAGTACAGCACAATAAGATATCTTGAGAGAGAGACACCACATTCGCATAAACTTTACTCAGTATATTGTTATAACTGTTCTATTTTATTCTTTTTTTTTTTTTTTTAAAGATTTTTATTTATTTCTAGGAGAGAGAGAGAGACAGCGTGAGCAGGGGAGGGTCAGAGAGAGAGGGAGTCACAGACTGAAAAAGGCTCCAGGCTCTGAGCTGGCTGTCAGCACAGAGCCCGACGCGGGGCTCGAACCCACTAACCGCGAGATCATGACCTAAGCGAAAGACGGACGCTCAACCGACTAAGCCACCCAGGCGCCCCTCTATTTTATTCTTAGTTACTGTTGTTAATCTCTCACTGTACGTAATTTACAAATTAAATTTTACCACAGGTATATAAGTATAGGAAAAAACATAGTATATATAGGGTTTAGTACTATTCATGGTTTCAGGCATCCAGAATATGTCTTAGAACATATTCCCCATGGAGGGGGGGGGGGCAGGACTACTGTAAAATGTAATGTCTAAGCTTTAATTTTTTTCTTGGACGATTCAGAACATCACAATAAATATCACTAACTTGTTGTGCTATCTCCTCAGCATCTAGGACCTACAATGAAGCAGGATGTTGAGGATCTGGGCTCTGGAGAATTTGAATCTCAGCTTTACCATTCACTGGCTGTGTGACCTTCAGCAAGTTACTGGACCTCTCTATGCATCAGTTTCCTCATCTGTGGAACAGAGATAATAGGATTATTTTGCAAAAACTGGATTATGTGATAACTGTAAGTGCTTAAAATAGTGTTCAGCACATAGTGTTCAATAATAGCTATTTTTATTAAGGTATGTTTCCCCTTTAATAAATGACTCCTGACCACTGTATTGATTTTATCCTTTACTCATTTATATTTCATTCTCCTTGCTCCCACCTTCAGCCAGATGTCCCTCACCAGGGCAATCCATATGCCTTTCTAGAATAACCCCTTCCCCTTCCAATGTTGTTTCTAATTGATAAGGCACCTGGAAATAATCAAGCATATTAAAACTGCATGTAAAATGGAGGAAACTGGGCCTCAAGAAATGTTCTGAAAGTCTCAGAACTGCTGAGACAGATCAGCAAGTTCAATATATGGGCCATTTGTCTGTCCCCTGAGGACCCTTTGGGCTTACTTCCAAACTATCAACTGTGGGTCAGTGGGCTGGTTGACACTCAGGATAACCAACCATCTCAGTTCTCCAGGACTGTCTTAGTTTTAGCACTGACAGTCTTGTACCCCTGGACACCTCAGTGCCAGCCCTGAGATTACATAATCCTTCCGAGCTTGCTTCATCATCTGTAAAATAAAGGATAATATCTACTTTGAAAGTCTGGTGAAGATTAAATGAGAGAATGTTTGCATACTTCCTGACACATAATAAGCTCTCAAAAAGTGGCAGCTCTAGCTACTGTACTAGTTACAAATTATTATCAACTCTAACATCAGTGGCAAAAGAAATCATTCTTAAATACCTACCCTGTAACTTGGTTATTTTCTTACTGGCAAAAATAACTTGCCTTATATACAGTAAATC